GGGAGGGCCTTTGCGGGGCCGGCCTTGCAGGTCCACCGCCGGGCCCCTCATGGGGCTCGGCAGTGGAGCTGCAGGGCCAGCGGCGGCAGCCGGGACCGTTGGGGGTGGGATGTGTGGCCTTATGACACACTTCCGGTGATGTCAGGGGGTGTGTCCTTATGTCACACTTCCGGTGATGTCAGGGGGTGTGGCATATGCTAATGAGTTATGCTAATGAGTTCCCCTAGCTCTTTTTCTATGAAACAACCCCTATAGATAGATGATAGATAGATAGATAGATAGATTGATAGATAGATGATAGATAGATAGATAGATAGATAGATAGATAGATAGATAGATAGATAGATGATAGATAGATAGATAGATGTGGATGCCTTTGAATGAATCCTCACCAATGGTCCCTCTAAGCTGTGGAGTCTTGTGAGCAAAAATTCTACTTTGTGAGCTACTGGCATTAAAGTTGTGAGCGAGCAATTTGGCTACTGCCTAAATTAGTTTGCTCTGGACCCATCCTTCCTGGGCTGAGACAAAAAATGTGTGAGTCGGAAGCTAAAAAACTGTGAGCTGGCTCACACTAACTCAGCTTAGAGGGAACACTGATTCCTCACAGACTACTTTCTGTTCCCCTCTCCCAGGCCTGCATTGGGGGTGGGGGTGGGGCTCTGTTTTGAGTAGGTTGTAGTTCCGAGTGTGTGAAGAAACAACCAAGAAGCCCAGTGTTGAAGTTGCCAGTCTCCTGTGTGCTATCTGGACAGGTAAGCTTAATGTTACACACCAAACCCCAAAGGATAGTAGACTCTTCTCTCTCCAGCCCTGAGTTCAAAGAGATGGGGAAAGTGCTGGCCTGTGGTTGGGTTGCCAGCTCCAGGTTGAGAAATACCTGGAGATTTGAAGGGTAGAACCTGGAGAGAGTGAGGTTTGGGAAAGGGAGGGACTTCGACGCGGTACAGTTGCCATGGAGACCACCCTCCATTTTCTCCAAAGGAACTGATCTCTGGTCTGGCGAGCAGCCGCAAAAGCGGGAGATTGCCAGGCCCCACCTTGAGGTTGGCAAACAGCCTTCAGTCATTAAAAAAAGAATATTGTGAATCAATATCACAGCGTAGAGGGAAAGGCCTCCCTTTGTGTGCCAGTGAGTAACAATCCCACCTTTTTTTTCCAGAAATGGCCGGTTTGCAGTGGGGTTAAGAACATAAGAGACGCCAACGTTGGATCAGGCCAAAGGCCCATCCAGTCCAACACTCTGTGTCACACAGTGGCCAGAAATACCAGTGCCATCAGGAGGTCCAGCAGTGGGGCCAGGACACTAGAAGCCCTCCCCCTGTTGACCCCCCCCCCCGAAGCACCAAGAAGACACAGCATCACTTGCCCCAGACATAAGAACATAAGAGATACCAATGTTGGATCAGGCCAAAGGCCCATCCAGCCCAACACTCTGTGTCACACAGTGGCCAGAAATACCAG